GGTCATACTGCGTTTTCACGATTTCGTGGTGAGACGGCTGGTTAGTCTAGTCATTGTCCACGTGAATCATCATGCCTAGGCACGCTTTCACACCGACGCGTTTAGTGATGGATGATGGCTGGAAAGCCTCGATCACCCCAAGTCGACGGAATCGAGCAACCATCTAGCATTTTCTGGAATTTTAGAACAAATTTAATGCTTTCAAGCATCAGCGTCGAAGTCAAGTGTATAATTTAGATTTCCTAAGATGATGTGTGCTGCAAAAACATCGTGTCTGTGTACATCGTCTGAGGCACGCATTTCACTGCTTCACGCCTCAAAGAACCACTGGAAATCAGGTGATTGAAACCGACCCGAGGGCAGCGAAGCAAATTTTTGTCGGAAATTTGTCCAAGTATCAGTGGTTTTCAATGTTAATGTCGACGACGACGACGACAACAGCACAAGACAGTGTTCTAGTCAATAACTTTGGCGGAAGCGGTCGTTATCTTTACCTTGGAACAATGCGTTCAAGGATGGAATTCAAACTAAGGACGTCCTCCGGGAGAAAGCGGGTTGTAGACTCACCAGAAACGGGCTAATTTGGCGCCATTTCTCCAGCTTCGTAAAACAAATCTTCGTATTAGCAGTAAAACAATTAAATCCAGTGATTGCGCAATCTGGGCGGTAAATTTAACATGTCCTTGTGTTGTGGCTTCAGTGCAAGGTGTGGGCTAAATCGCACACTCCCCGCCGCGTCATTCATTCTTGGAGATAATTTCGCATTTAGGCGAACGCTTGTCGAACACAGGAGAGGATCAGACTAAACAACGCGAGCCTTTGATCCATCCACCGGTGGCTTTCCTTAAGACACAATTTTTCGGAAAGCGTTTTGACTCGAGAGGTCTTATAGAAGGCCGTTTTAACGGGGGAATTCTTTGTGTGGATTCGCTATCCTCCGCCGATAGGGAAGAACATGCTGTGAGTAAAGGTGTGTGTTGACATGAAGCCGTGGACTAACAAAAAAACAGGTAGATGCAGATTTTTAACGCCGCTAGTAATGACACCAACAAGAAATTCGAGGTTTTTCCTAACGTCTGCAAAATACTCTACGCCAAGTTGTTCGGTACACAGGACCTCGTACGCAGCTTGTAGAGTGTAGAAACCATTTGTTGAATTCAAATAGAACTTGTAGCTGTGCTCGATTCTTGATCGCCTTCCACTCTGAACTGCGTCAAGACGGGAGCGTTCATCTACCTGGTGAATCGATCCGAACTCGGCCTTCAGGCGAGTGGAAAACCTTCGCACGTGGATGGTCCATACTGTCCACCGAAACCAGGAGTGCCGTCTTCCGTGTCTAGTCAAAGTCTTCGTGTTTAAGTGAATTTGGAGTGTCAGCTGCAAGCCATGCCACAGATCCGTTATTTCCGGCGCTTTTCGTCACCAAATTCAATAGGCTGTCTCGCAACGACACCAGGAGCCTCCAACGACGTCAAAGCGAATCGACGCAAAGCTGCAGGAGACAATTGAAGGCTAATTCATGGAACCAGTCACTTTGCCCAAGTGTCAAGCTCGCTCTCTCTCTCTGTTGGGGTTGATTTTCCGTGTACACATAACAATTTGGTTGGCAATCTTGCATCACCTAGCTTTGCATAGGCACCTTCAGATGTCACAGGATTTTGGAACTACCCCACAACATCAGGCGTTCCTAAATCCTTGCCCCAACGCTGCGTAGTGATTTTGAAGTCATGTAGGGGTGGTTAGACCGTTTGTGGTTACCCGGTACAAACGTGATTGGCAATAAATCGCGTCATCATTCGTTTTTCCTGTGGTGGTTCTGGTGGAATACCATTTGAACTTGTTCATCGTGGTAAAATTGTGTTGTCCTTCTACTTGTCCGCGTTGTTGAACATTCTAGATCGTCGTTTATCTTTGGTGGATTCGAGTGCTGCGTAGACAGGCAAGCCGATTAACTGACATTCAGTGGGATCAAGAAATCTGGGGTGTTGCCGCGGACAATCTGCATACCGCCGAAAAACCAACCATCTCGCCAGTCAGTGAATGACAAATTACCAACACAAAAAGTCACGTGTGCCACGGATCGACACACACACGCACACACAGAAAGGCCAAGTTTTGGTTCGTTGGACGTTGGTTGAGCCAATATGGGCCATTCTGTTCGTTGAGGTGCCGTACGAGGACGTAGACACATTGCGTCACTCCGAACTTAACCAATCCCCTGTCTTTGTGTGTTTGATTGGCCAATCAGCGACAAGGATGGACGAGGAGCAATATGAGGGGACTCGGATGGACGGCGCCCGACGAACGGTTCTGGCTTGTGATTGGACAATAAAGTACGCTCTGTTGTACCTGTATTTTGCATGTCACCGACCTTGTCTTGAGTGGAAACTAACCAATCGGATTCGACAAGACTTAACTGAAGCCAAAACAGGTCAAAAATCCATTATCCCGAGGTAACAGGAAATCATCTTTCCAAAATTTGAATGAATGACCTTGCTAAGTTAAAAACTTTTCGCCATTTCATTTCTTCAATTCGGAAAATAGGGGATAGGAGTCAGGCAATTCCAGTTTGCACAGTTAATTGGCAAAAATTTGAGAGTTTGGAAGCCGTGACAGTCTGAAAACGATGTCAGTTTGTTTTGCACAAGTTGTGATCCAAGCTTTAATTAAATCAGATTAAGTACCTGTGACAAGCTTGACTACCTAAATTGTCACATTTTTTAAAGCATTTGAAAGCTCTTTGGAGGTACGCTAAATGACAGTTTTGGAGTAGGCATGTTGTCGGAATCAATGCTGGAATTAACGCATTCTACATGTTGCCACTTCACTGACAGCATGTTCAAGTCAGTTCCAGGTGACTACAAGCACCAAACCTAAATTTTCTTTAAGTACTTTTTTAGAATCGCATACTATAACTAAGAACTGTGTCTCGTTAAAAACGTTTGAGCCATGAGTAATATCGTTAAAGGCATCTCCACATGAGGGGGCTTGAGTTTCATTGTTAGCTTTCACAGGATTAAAAACTGGTGAGGTAACAATTAACTACTTGAACCAATCATCTTCTGTCATGGTGCACGTAATTGGTAGAAAATATTTAGTAAATTGCGACTGAATTGCGTAAGAAAATATACCTCAGATCCATGCGTGTTATGAATTTGTCATCAAATCAACTTAAACCACACACACACACACACACACGCGAGCACACGGCATTGAGGAACACACACGCGCACACAAGCATCCAAAGATCTGTCAAAAGTAGTTAGGTTGCAAGATGGGAATTTTCACGCGATTTTTGACAAAAACAGCTAAGTAATTACGCACAAATATCCACCTATACCGTGTAACTTTTTGCGTTCTCGTTGTGTCATCGCGGTTCGTACGTAAATCGATTGTCAACGAGACAATAGCAGCGTAGTCCAACCACACCCGCGCACATTTTCCATTTGATTTGCATCTTTTTCGATCACTATTCAACGGTGCACGCTTTAGACTTCGAAAAACGCATTAACTGGCAAGTCACAAGCAACTGGAAGTATAGCATTGTCGTCAAATGAGATCGTGTTTTTTTGGATGTCATAAAAAGTCGAAAATAAAACGTGGTGCCCTATTTCTTAACTCAGTGTTTGCGTTTCACGCCTCCTTAGCTTCACGCGCGTCTATTTTTGAGGAAAACAGATAGACGTAACACCTGGAAGCAGCCTAGGAGCGCAGAATCGACGTGGAATTGTTCTTTCAATGATTTTCGTGGATGAGAATTTATTGGTAGAGCGCCTTGAAGGGACGATTACACATTGAAACCTTGGTGGGTGTCATGTTCCGTGTCATAAGAATCAATCCGACCAACTCCTGCAACAGTTGTTGTGAGTAACCGTGATCGTCTCCGACCTCTGAACTGGCATGTGTGGTTAGAATTCGCATGGTGCTTCAATTAGAAACAAAAATTGAATGTAGCATGGCCACGTCCTCTAACCAGCTACAACGGCGAGATTTGATTGGAACCACTAATTCGACAAGTTTTATATTCTGTTTAGTTGAGATCATCGTCTCTCTAGATGGTCTTTAGTTTAATAAATGATATCTGAAGTTCTTGTAACTTCAAGTACAAAATTCTTGTCGATCCTCTTGTCAGAGCACTCTGAACGTGGGACTCATTTCTCGTCGATCGGTCACGTGATGGTCCTCTTGAGCATTAGTAATCGCTGTGCTATTTTACTTGGATTCTTGTATACCTTGGTGGTGCGTCAATAAGGCTTTGACTGCTCAAACCAGGTCATCGCCAAATTTGTGTTCCAAAAATTGCCTAGATTATTTGCGACAAAATCTACTTCCCAAAATAACTCACAAACACGCTCTCTGGTTTAGCAATTTTCAAGAAAAGGCAACGGAATTCAAACAATGAAGGAGTAAAGACAAGTTTTCGGTCAATCAAATTGGTAGCTGGGCTTTAATTGGACAAAAGGTATGCTTCACTTCTGTATTAATATGGTAATGTGATATTGCTCCAGATGAGAAAGGATTACTAATTAGCAAATGTGTGCTGGAAGCAAGACAAAAGCCTGGACTCTACTGAATTTGAAAATTAAGCGGTTCTAACTAAGAAAGGAAGACGATGTAAAGCTACAATATTTAGGGAAATGCCCAGGTACATCTTAATCGATGTTAAATTTAGGTCATTGTAATGGTAAAAGTGTACACTATGGTGGCCATAATTACAAAAATGAACAAATTATCAGGGCGTTGTCATAGTAGATATTGCAAAATGCTGCCGGGTAAACGTGCACATTTTATCTCTTTCGGAATTTTGTAAGTCATTAGAAAATTAAGAATTGACATTTTTTCGATCTGAAGGAATTTGTAGTAAGTCAAACATTTGGGCACAGCTAGAGGTCCAATTTGATATTTTTGTCACGTGACACTCAATGGCTCTAAACTGCACCTGAAGGCTAAAAACCAAATTAAATATTTATTCAGACTGATGCTGTCTAGAAAATAATATCGGATCACCATATTTCGAAATTCCAAAAACGGGGTGGAGAAGTTCACTGCTAAACTTAATCAAAAACACCAAACACCAAGTAAAGGACACCTAATATAAATGCAGATAGGAATCATCAATGTAGACTGATCAAGAAAAATTACTTTTAAAGCCAGGAACATGAATGCCACAACTCCAAAAAGTGCCTAACTCAATTGCATAACTGAAAGTGCACACTGCCAGAGGTAGCAGCCAATAGTGTAGCGTTAGTAAAGTGGTGAAATAATACTGGTGGCAGATTATATTGTGAAACAAATTATACAATACTGCTTGAATTTTATATCCCTCAGTGTGTTTGATATGGTCCAAACGAAAATAAATTAAAATAAAATCATAATCTAGATAGTACTTCAAAAGCATTGCAATGATCTAAAACAATGACGAATTAAATTTCCTACCTGGAAGCACTATAGACAAAAAAGCCAAGAGTCGCACCAATTTAAAAGTAGCAGTTGAAAGAGAAAATAAAGACGGAAATTGTAAGCGCATGTCAATTTTATGACATGTAACGTCATTGACATTGCTGCCTCTAATTAAAATTAAAGTCTTTTTTAGATAGCAGGTGTTATTATTTCCAATTATTTGTAAAAAATATCAAACTAAATGTCACAAAGTTTCTCTTAAACAGTAAAAAATCACAATCCATGCAGAACTTGCATTAAAAATTAAAATTAATTTAGCTAAATTAAGAAAAGCTCAGCTAAGTGACATTAGTCCAAAGTAAGAACATGATATACTTTTGCATATTGTTACCAAAACGTTAAAAAATATATTATTGGTGCTTTGTACACCAGACTAAACGATGAATTAGACTCACGTTATTCCGTTCACGCGCAACAGCAACAGCATTACCCGCTAAAGATTCTCAAGGTTATCAATGCTTGATCGAAAGGATTTGAATAATTTTAACTATGCGGCAATAATAAAAAAATTTAAAAAATATAAGCAACTGTATAATTATTTGCATTAACCCAGAACAGATATTTTGTAAAATAACTATTTGTACCTGAAAATGCACGTTTTTATGAAAATATATCAGCTCCATGGGACTGAAGAACGATATTAGGGTTTAGCACTTATAAATAGACCAAAATATGATGATTTTAATTATGCCATTTTAAAGAGATTATAATTAGATTGTTATGTTAAAAATCTTAGACAGAAAGAAGCAGTAAGGTCAATGTTGTTGTGTTCACATTAAGGATGTTTATATGATATGTGAATTGCATGGATTCAAGTAAGTTTAGGTTTATAAAATGTCTATTTTTTGCCTAGTCAATTTAGCAAGGTCTTGCTTACATATTTTGCTGCAAACTTACAAAAATGTCATTTTTGTTAACAATATTGTTGTAAATAATTATATCTGAATAAATCTACTCCAAATTCATTTATATAATTTAATTTCGGTCATGCAAATATCCACATTTCCAGGTATTTAAAATGTACTGAAAAATGATACGTCGAAATAATATAATTTTGATAACCTTAAATTAGGGCAATACATTTATAAAATAGTCCTTTTTTATTTGATTTAATCCTAATATTTTTCAAAATCTGCAGCCATATCTTAGATATAAACTTCCTTATTTCAGAGCGGTGTACACTCTGTATGGCCATTTTAAAAAGATCATTTGAAAAAAACTTATATCCTCTTAGCTTGATGTGTTAGTGTCGAGGTGTTAACTTTCAAATGTCTCTACGTAATTCCTTGTAAATAATTTTTTGAGAATATTTTCTAAAATGAGGCATGAAATCAGCGCTTGCCTTAGAAGATCACAATTAATTTTAGATCACCTACAAATTTTTCAAGCTATATTGGTTTAAATAATATACTATGAGAAAATGAGCCGATGGTAAATTTGGCGATTTTTCAATTCTTCAAATTTGGAAATCTGCAAGATCATTACAGGGCTTTTTCTCGACTTAAATTTAATATAAACCAGTTGACATCTGGTAACCGTTGAAGTTTATATCACACTATCATATATATCAATGTTTAAAGTTGCACTTGTGTTAGCTATTTGCTACTGCGCCAGCTTAGCTTTGCTATTATTAACGGATATTGGGACAAATGACACGATAAGCATAAAAATGCCATACTTTTAGCACTAAGGACCAGCCTGTGCCCCTTCGTGTTTGTTTTATTTAAATAGTGACGTGGTTATCTAAATAAGTTGCTTTTACCCGAATCAGAGTTCAATCCTTTTAGCTGTGACGTTGTCAGTGGCATCTGCGCTGAAAGTACAAATGGCTTATCAACAAGTTGTGAACAGTCAAATAAGGTAGTTGCACTGGTTAAACTAATAAGGCCGAACGAGGTTAGGTCAGAAAAAGGCAGATTCTATTTAGAAACCCTTGCACACATTTATAAGGTTTGGAGATGTTTGTGCAAGCCCTAGCTCCAATGCTACCTTGGGACAACTTGATGTTGTAAATGAGCGGTGAAAACACAGGCAATTATTGAAACCAGAAACTGTTGATGTGTTAGCACGTGCCAAATGCTGCGTAATTTTACTAGTCCTGCTTGCCCTTTAAAAACTTTTACGTGGTATCAGAAGGCAATGTTAACTACAAGACAAAAACTACTTCAGTTAACCAATCCTCATATGTTGGTATTTGCTAAGTAGGTCAGACGTAACTCAATTCAAATTGAGAAGTGGAATTCAAAAAAAAGTTTTTATTTCGACGTAGATTGATCTCCTAAACAAAACAGAGTCTGGTGACTTCCCCTTAAAAAGGCTTCAAATGAAACTTACTGGCTTTTTGCAAAGAAACGCTGCCCTAAACAGGAATAAACTGTAATTCAACATCGCAGACCTTTGACAAGAGGTAAAGTGTCCTGTTGCAATTGAAGCAAAATATTTAATGAGTACACTGGCTACCGGCTGATGGGATGTGTGGCGTTTTATTTTTCTATATTTACACAAGCACCTTACGGACATATCTGCAAAATTAACAGATCGTTGAACAGTGATACTCATTGGTACACGTTCGTCCAAGTATTTCTAAAAAGCTGCATTTAAACAATGTAGGTTCTTTTCTGGTCATGCCCCGTAAAGATGCATGAATTAATCCACAGAGCGTGTGTTGTGGTCACGTGCCGAAAAAAACTAACAAGTCCCGTGCCGTTTTAAACCGCCTCACCACAATTATCGATCGCGCTTATTTGTTCACGTGACATCCTCGCGCTGGACTGCGGCGTGAAGTCCCCTGCCTCGGAAGAACCATGGCCATCGCCTAGTGCTGCAAGTATCCCAAGCATGAGCTATGACGAGAATAGCGTCATTGGTTCTCCGGGGCGCCAATTTCAACGGATACTGAATGCAAGCAATACCGCCCTATCGAGCATCAAATTTCCCGGGGACCCTGATGAGTTTCCAAATTCGAATGACTGGATTAACATTGCTATTGTGATTCCCCAAGAAAGAGAACTAAGAATGAGGCTAAAGCGCAGTGCCCCATTGAGGTAAATGATCATTATAAATAATGCGACATGTCCAAGCTATTGGTCCGCCTATTTTAAAACGATATTAGATAATCGATATTACTATAACAAAAAAAATAATGAAAAAGCTTTTGTAGATATATCAACTCAGGAGATGTCGATATATTTTAATCACGAGTTTAAAACCTCAACAAGCAGTCAACGTCTTGTCCCCTTTTTGCACCTTGAGGGTCATACTGAATGTGGTTGCCGTTTTGCTGGATCAAGGTGGAGTGATGGAAAACGGCAAACTTTGTCTTCTTAGTCCGCCTTATGATGAGGGCAACTCAAGCTGCAAGGTGCTGCCGATAGATCAAACTCCAGACGACATTGAACTCGAGGATAACGTGAGAGTTGAGCCCGCACTTGTCGTTGAAGGTGGAACTGCTACCAAATCAGAGGACATTTAATGACTTCGTTTTTTATTCATTTCTTTTAAGTTAGAGAATTATTTTTATGTTAATTTTTTTTATTATTTGCTTTTATATTTTTGCGTATTAAAGTTAAATTTTATTTCCTAAATGACTATTTTGATTAATTTGTAGGTTATTAAGTTTGACATTGGGAATAGTTTTATTAATTGTAAAAAGTTAATTAACATTAACGTGCTTGCTGCCACAGTCTGATTCTGTAACTAAGTTGTTTTTATTTATGTTCACGTTTATAACTCTGATAAACTTTTATGGTAGATCACAATTATTTCTCTGTGAAATCTAATCAGGTCGAAATGAGCTAACATGCTTTAGTAATTACACTAAGTATGAGTATATCCGGCCTAACTTTGTATTCATGTAGAAAAACAGATCAAGATAACCAAATTCTTCATTTTATTTAATGATATTTACATACGATTTTTTTCTGACTTAATTTTCAAAAAAATTCCACGATCCGTTGGACACTGTAAAGTGTCTACCGAGCTGTTACTGTCAATCCGTCCTACAATATCAGGGTTAATTTACAACAATACGATTAAAAATTAGAAAAACCAGATATAACCCATACTACCACATACAAACGTGTAATTAATACTCTTATATCAAAGGTCGTGTTTTGAGAAAGACAGGGTAATAAAAAGAAAAACAGGCCTTGCTAAAGTGACTTGCACAACCACGTACTTATCGAGGATATTTGACTGCATAACTTTGAATACTACCAGTGAAAGAATGGCGCAAGTCTAAGACAACATTCCTGATCCAAACAAACTGTTAATAAAAGCCAGTGCACACACATTGGTAAAGAAAAAAAAATGCAATTTGGGCAGTTTTTTAAATATATTTAACTGATTGTTTATTTGCGGTAGAATTACAACGAAATTATCGCGAACATCATGAAAAATTCGATGAAAAAAATAAGCGCTCAACGAGTAAGGTAGAAGAAAATAATATACAACATGTGAACGGCTGTGCCCCCTTCCTGAAAAAACATATTAATTCATTTGGCCTGTTCCGAGACTTAATGTAAAAAATTTAAACATTATTAGATGGTAGCACATAATTTTTGGCAAATAGTGTAAAAGATGCATGCATTGTGGCTTAGCCAATGCAATAAAAGTATGCAGTCAATGCGATGGCAACCTCAACGAATTTTTACTAATGGAGAAATTCTCATTCACCGTAAAACAAAGGAAACGACCATAACAAATGCTAATTGGGAGTTGCATGGTTTCAAGTGGCAGAGAGCAGCTTACTTAGTAAGACATTAATAAAAAGCTAATTTTTTTAAGAAAACCTTGTTCCAGAATTTTGATGCTCTAAAAGGAAAAGTGCAAATGGTATGCTTCAAATTTTTTCCTGCATTTATATGTCGGTTGAATGTCCTACCTACTGGTTGTAGTCATCAGTAAGTTAGATAGACAAATGTTTCAGATATTCAAGTTTTTTAAAATGTTTTTTAAAAAATATGTATAATTAGTTGTGATGTGTCTTCGTTCTATGATTTGCTACCTTCATATTCGCGCCATTTTGCTGTTTGTTTTAACTTGTCTTTCTTTCTATCAGCTGATTGAATAACTTCACAGTACTTTGTATTTATGAGTTTGCGCCTTTTAGGTAACGTTGTGTTCACCTTGTCTACAAAACATTTGTAATTTATGTGTTTTTATGATTTATTAGATGGTAGGCTTTCTTAATTTTTGTGCTTATGATTGAATTTGCTTTGTCTTTTATGGTTTATGTTTTATGTTTCTCTCTGATTCTCATTTTTAGTTTTGACCATCATCTTATTCTGTGATTTCGGAGTTAGTTATCGTTGAGTTGTAGTGGCTTTAAACTCTTGGTCATAAGCTTAACTGTCTTTTCTAGATAATTAAAGAAATTTCTTCATGTCCCAAATTGGTTCTTGCTGTTTTCACCACAAATGAGGTGAACAGCATGGGTTTTAATAGATAACCATTATAATGGTTGAAGTTTATTATCATGAAAGGTGATATTTGCTGTTGATACTTGTAATGGTGTTCAACGGCGATATCCATAGACGATGTTCTCCTTCTAGATTGTAATATTCGGGAAAACATTTAATCAGATGGCGTATTTTTTCCTGTTTGTAAAGTAGGCCAAACGTACTTATGGGGGCCGCATTTTAACCAATTTCCATTTGACTATACACTGTTTGCTATTTGCGATCGTGGTTATTTCTGGTCAAAGCACATCAGTGCTGTTCACTACTCCACCCAAGGTTACAGGTGTTTAATCTCTAATGTTATTCCTCTTCAGGACAACCATGTATGTATTTTTGATGCCCCAGGGCAAGCTCGTGGAGATCGACAACCAGAATCTTCAAGAGCGGTGAGTTCGCAATCAATGTGAACCACGTTTCACTTTTGTCCTGATATTCATTGTTTCCAATGCCTACATTTCAGAGTTCTTAGCCTAAAAGCATATCTTGCAAAATACCATGATTTACCCCATGATCGCCAAGTTCTCTTTATTAACGGAGGCGACGAACTTCATGAGGACAATTTACTCAAAGAACACAGTGCCGGAGACGTAAGTCATCGCCTCGATTTCTTATTTATTGTCGAATAAATAAAACTACACAGGACTCTGAAGGCGTCATTGTATTTGTTTCCCTCAATCCCAATTAGATTCTGTTATCTTTGCTAAATACATTACAAACGAACTTCTCTGGTGTAGGAAAGTCTGATCCTGCTAGCAAGCTCTTCGTAACAAATGTTATGTTTTATCCTACTGGAACTACGTTTGCCTTATTTCCTGCTCATTATTTCTTATTTTTAGGACCCTACAAATCCTATTTTTGTCTTCTTACGTAACAACGACATTAAACCGGAAGCCTATCCATTTAAAGGTAAGCTCCAAATGTTTACTTTGTCACCATGGCTTATTTGCAAGCTCCCGTTATCGAGTCGTCATGTGCTAATTGCCCTGATTTTTCATCATCACCCAACTTTTTCTCACCGAATCGTTGTTCACGCGTCACGCTGAACGAGGTCGCACCTTGGCTTCACAGGACTTTTTTGTCAACTGACTATTTAAACGTAACATTACCAAAATTGACCCTACTGTCAAACCAGGCTCCAAATAACACACACACACAGAGCGTAATGCGTGCTAGTGTGACAGTTGACGTGCATTCTTCATGTGCCTGCATCAACGATCATGCCTCGGGCATGGTGTATTCGTTCAGCTGTTTTTTTGGTTAAACTTTCACCGTTGATAGGCTGTATCCACCAAGAAGCCGTGCATTGTTATCTCACGGTAATTAGAGTGTTGAGAGTTGGGGTTACTTAGCGTGTAGCCTGTTGGCAAGCGGGAGAGTCTAGCTATTCAAATTTGTGCTGTGGTCGCATTTTTACATTCCAACTTACCAAGGCATTTCATTTGGATTGATTGTGTCAAGGAGTGTAAGTTGAAATGCGATTTTGCCAATTCGAAGCGCACACTTCGTCAGTTTGTCCGAAATCGAATGCAAACAGGCCTATTTGACGTCATTGTTTGCGTGCACACTTCGTGCAGGTGTGTATGAAAGCTCGTGATGTCGTGGTATCCACTTCTAACTGTTTGGTGAGATGCGAGAGAAAAAAGAGGCATTTACCCACATGATCGGGCAGTTTCCGTGCCTTCAGGCTATCGGAGTGTAGTTAGACGCGAACGGTCGCTCGTGTTACCCTGCATTTTAGGCTTTGATCTGCTTCGAAAGTTGGAGGAATTGATTGCTTCGCCCAGTGGACCGAGTCTGTCGGCAGTTCGACCGTGTCTCCAAGACCTGTACAAGGCATCATCCGACAGCTTCTATGTTGTGGAGCGACTCCTCACGGAACAACGACGCATGTGCGAGGCACGTTCTCATCCCCTTTGCTTTTTTTCCGCCTCTAAGAGACCATCGCCCTAGAATCCAAAGTTTGCATAAAACTGGACTAAAGTCCGTGAACTCGGCGCGTGGTTGACGCGGTTTGTCATTCTCTTCCCTTCAGGGCTGGTTCATCGTGCTAGTGCACTTCGATCAATTGATGAAGGCTTCCAGGGCGAGTTTGGAGGACTACTGGAAAGACTACGACAAGTTCTGCGGTGAAGTTAGCCACTGGGAAGCCAACTTGAAGAAGTGAGTGACCTTTATTGCGGACAATTTTAACACGCCAACTAACCAGCGACATTCCTCGCAAACAGTGCAATTTCACATCCGCCAACAACGCCACCAGTCGCGTTGACGAAGCCCCGGCTTAAATTGCATAAACAATTTTGTTGTTTTATTTTTTTGCATCAGAGAATTCGCTTCCCCTTCTCCCCTTTTCTAAAAATATTCGCCTGTTTTGATCGCGTACTCGAAATTGTTTCGTCAGTGTGACACCTTGCGATCACGCGGTCCGCCCGTGCGCTTGTGCTGGCACGCCACATCCTTGCCTTACCTTACCCCCACCCTGAGTGTCGTTAAAGAGGCGGCACTCGGCGGCAAGTCGCAGTCTATGAACGTCTAAGCGCTGGTGTAAACATCAGTCGGTCTAAGTGGAACAACACTAGGCGTTGTAAATGGCAAACCCCACCGCCTGATTGACGTTTGTGCTTGGCGCGGGAATGCCAAGTGGCGATAGTGCTTATGGAGCGATTGTGGTGTACTTTTATTAAACCAGGTGAATCACAACATGCCAACAATGAGGCACATCCGCACATCCGCCGGATCAATCAAACAACCCCAGCGAGGAAGTTGCATGCATGCTTTGCCTTTGCGCGTAACCCCTCTAAAAGTAATCTCAACCAATGAGTGGTCGAGTAAGGCTGGTGTGTGTACGTGTGTGTGCGTGTGTGTACTTTAGTAGTTCACCCCACCAAACCGTCGTCGACTTGCCCCTGGTAGTCTGCCAGCTCCCTCATCCGCGCGTTCTCCTTTCAGATTCGCGTCAATTAAGAAGAGGCTACGAAGCGTGCCCCTGCTACCCTCGCTGTTGCCAATTTCTGCGGAATTGACGGTGTGTTTTTCAGCGATTCACACATTACGATATCTACTGCCTCCTGTGCTTCCTCTCTAAGTAGTGACTGTTTTTTGCGTGTGTGTGTGTGTGTCAGCAGACAGAAGCCGTGGAGCTCCACGGTCCGCCGCGCACCCTCTACGACTGGGTGTGCCTTCATTTCCTCCACCTGAAGGCGCCACGCCGTCCGAACGTCTTTCCGCTCGCCGGCACCATCGGCAGCAGTCTCAACCTCGCGGGTTCGCGTGCCGGCTCAGAGGTGGGGCTAGCCGCGCGCGCGGCCCTCGTGACCTCGGGCAAGACGTCGATGTCGCCGATCTGCAACGCGAACTCCTTCTACCTGTCGACGTCGTCGCCTTCCTCGCAGACCGCGACGCCGCCTGTCGTGCCGAGTCTTGAGACGGCGCTTCTCGAGTACATCGAAGACACCGCCTTCCGACTCAGCCAGGTCAGGGAGGCGGTCGGTGGACCGAGACGATGTCCTTCGTCTTCTTCAAACGGCGAGGATGGGAATTCGATCCTCCTGTCCGAAGATGAGGATGACGAGGAGCAAGAGGAGGTAGAAAGCCATGGGGCGCACTTGGCAACGGTGTATTCGTGAGTTTTTTGCGCGCAGACGGTTCTGCTTACCACCACAACGCTTCGGCGCCTTTAGTTAACCCCCTCTTTGCTTCTCACAGTCGCCTGAAGACGTTCGGCGAGCTTCTAGACTCCGCACCCAGCGATACAGAGTCCCACGAGGCCGAGGCGCCTCCCTCCACTCCCTCCTTGGTCATACCTTCGTCTAGCTACATCGCGCCGTTCGACTCGTCCGAGTGTGTGCACGTCGGCAGGTGCTTCACTTCGGACGACGCGGTGGACATGCGAGGTGGTGATGTTGGCGTCGCCGCGTCATCCGACGGCAGGAAGCTCAGCTGGCGACACTCAAGGAAGCACTTCAGTTGCCACCTCAACCAGCTCCAAAAACTCCAAGACCAGGCGACTCACGATCAGAACTGCCTTCAGCGTCTGTCGGAGCAGCTGTTTCTGGATTGGCAGCGCAGAGAGGTTGGTGTTCTGGCGTCGCGTGGCGGTGGATTAAATCCTTGAGACAAGGTCCAAAACCTGTAACGTGCTTTTCTGCCTTTTTTTCCTCTCAATTAGTCGAAGTACTCGCAGCGACATTTTCGTGAGGTCCTAAAGAATCAGGAGCATATGCTCTCGGCTATTGGCACTCGTTTCCAAGGTCTCAAGAAGACCTTCGATGACGTCACGGGCCTGAAGTTCAAGCTGGCTGAGTCCATTTCCACGCTGCAGGAGTGAGTTTTGCGTTTTCGCCATCTCTCCCCCTCTCTGTGTGTTTTTTTGTTTATCGCGATTTCCATGCACCTAAGTCACTTGCAATCTGCTGTCGAAGTTGGCATAATTTACTTCACTTTCACTGTGGATTCGGGCATTATCAGGCTGTTTTTTTTCACACACACACACACACAGGCAGATCCAGGCGTTCAGTTCGGAGATACACTTGAAGCATCGGCAATGCTTGAGGTGTTTCAAGGACCTCGAGAGCATTTCCACGTGCAGCGCTCTGCTTGATCAGCTGCGAGACACGCCCGAGTTATACATCAAGTAAGTTGACTCGGGAATGACTCGGTGAGGCGGTGGTTCTCCATAATTTGAATCACACTTGTCCTTGTGCCAGGTGCCTCCTGGAGATTGTTCGTCGTCGCAGGGTTACGGATGTCTGGATTTCCATCAACGACCAGTACTCAAAGCGGCTGGCGGCTTTCCAGCGGGACGAATCGAGCCGTCGTGAGACCATCTCACGTGAGCTGAAGGGCCACATTTTGCAGCAGATATTCAGCCCCCTGCGTAGCCCCCGATTCCCCGTCGCCACGTGTCTCGCTCCCGGCGGTATTCGTCAGTACTCCAGGCTCTCCCTCGTCCTCCCCACGCCCTCCACGAAGAGGCTGAACCGGGGGAACAAGTGTTTATCGGCGAGTTATCTCAACTTCACGCCGCAGTGCTCCTCCCCCTTCCGTCTCCCCTCGAACCGTCCCGCGCAGGCCGCGACCGTCGCGAGTGCTCGTCGCATTCCACAGTCGTCGCTCGATCGGCAAGTGGACCCGCTAGAGCGCAGTCTGGAAGGTCTGCCAAGTGTGTCGGAGGAGGACCTACGCGAACTGATGCCTCAGCTGCCAGAGGATTTGGCACACATGATTGCGGTGGTGCTGGAGGAGGTGGCGACAGAGGGTGACGCCCTGGCCTTCTACCTCGACGCCATGACCAGGGGTCCAACGCGTCGACCGCGACTCCTATCCAGCCCCTGCCTCCTCCTCCGGCCTCAGTCTCCCACCCAATCGCCAACGTCGTCGTCCAAATCGCGATGCATATCAGTTGCCACGAGTACGGAGGACGGAAAGCGGTATTTCAGCTCCGCCGAACGACTTTCCTCCATTTTCGAGCGGTACGTTTGCACTGTTCGGTGTGCGCGTCTAGGCCCTTATCACACAACCCCGTTGATGCCTGCGCTTCTTCCAGGCCTCCTCCACCTCCACCCACCGAAGACAAAGCCGTGTCCGTCGCGCTGGAGGCAGCTTCTCTCGATCTCAGTGTCTGTGATTCTCCCGACCCCCGCCCCGCCTCCCCGCCTTCCAATGCGGTAGGTTAATCAGTCTAGCTTGGGTCACTGATGTCCACTTTGCTTCTTCCATAGGCCCCCTTCATGTCCTTATTCCCTCCACCGCCACACTCCGAACAATCTTCCCACTCGTCGTTGATGGAGCCCAGCTCGGACATATACCTGTCCATGGACGCGTCGGCCTTCGAGTCAGACCAGTCGGCCGACGCCAACATTTCGCCGCCCCATCAGCCACTGCAGTCGGACACCAGGTTCCACTCGTTCGATGGCAGCAGTTCCAACGAGTCCTCCCTCGTCGCACCGAGTAAGTGATTTTAGCTCGACTCAGAAGCCGTGATACCCCTTAAACGCCTCTCCATCCTACTTCCTCTTCCTCTTCTTTGCCTAGATCCTCACTTCGACGAGGCCCTCACATCCCAACGCGACTTGTTGAAACGCCTGTATGCCGACCTCAGCCGCATCCTGCCGGGTCGTTTTGCCGCCCTCACTCTAACCTCCAGCCCAAAATTCAAACCGGTTGAGGTGAGTGTGTGGCGTGTTTTCGCTCTCTTGGGAGTGAAAATCTCGCCTCGCTTCGAGTGATGCCTATTGATCTGCCTGCTTTCCCACAAGACCTTCTTCGCGTTTATTTCACCCATCATCTTGTCAGGCACTCAGCAAATCACAAACGCTAGCAGGGGGATGATTCACCCCCTCTTAAGCTTGAGTTAAAAATAGCTCTTGACCTTGGATTCGAGTCGGGGGTTAGCGGTGGTGGTTGCTGTCGCTTTTTCGTCACACAACCCCCCCCCCTGTTTGTGGCGTTCTTAAGGTGATTGCACAACGAACCCAATTGTCTGCCCACGGTGACGCAAACCAAACCAGCTTCTCAAAATGCCTTGGGAGTGAGTGTGTCGGTTGGAGCGCCGTGCGCAATATCCAACGATTGCCATGTGAACGGCGTGTGCGCTCTCACTCTCAATTATCTTCCCCGAAGCACATCCATACGCATCTTGTGTGTGTGCGTGCATGCGTGTGACGCTCTTAGGCGCGCAGTTAAGGTCAATTTCATTTGTTTTAAAGAAGAAATTCAAACTTAAATTGCAATCTCTCTGCCTTCTACGTGTCCGAATTTAGTTAATGTCGAACAAACGGCGTCTGAGAGCGTGTGATTTCGTGTATTTTTCGTAAAAATAACTTTGGCTTTGTTGACACCTCAAGAGAAAGCTGTGATGACGTTTTCTAGCATCGGTGACTGCGTTTTTACCACCTCACGCCTGCGTTAAAGTCCCATTTTGCCACCAAGGCGACGTGTCGCACGTCTCAGTAGCGTGAGATGTCGCAATTGGTGTGATGTCTTGCCTTGCAGTCCCCCTCTACAAGTTTGTTTTCATCTTATTCCCCTTCTTCAGAAATCCGAGTCGTACCTCGGTGTGGCGTTGTCAACGATACGCGAGGTTCTGGGCTACCTGGAAGACTCCGACGCGGCGTTCCAGACACCGGCGGCTTCAACGAATGTCGAGACACCGTCTTCGACCTCCACGGCTAGTGTCCAAGCCTCGTGCGCTCTAGTCGACTCCTCCACAGGTTCGCGAATCTCGTATTTT